TTAAGTATTCACACCCTGACATATAAAAACACACACATACAATCTCACATCTCTCGTTCAAGTGTTTACACTGTTACAAAGGGCACACCAGTTTCATTTAGTTAATTTTTCGTAAACCAATCGAACAACATCCAGAGAACATATTATTTGTGTTTTCAAATAATAATTTTAAAAAAGACAAAGTTTTTTAGTAATTTTGATTTACAAAAACTAATTATTCGGTGGAAAATTAACTCACAAAATCATTTTTGTTAAAAAGCTTGTTTAGTGAAAAAGTGCTAACAAATATTCAAACATACAGGTAATTAATTCAACTTTGTCATTAACCTTTTCTTAAAAAATTTCCATAACTTTCAAAAAAATTTTCTATTATGTTTAATATCCTGTTTTGATAATCCACTCATTTATTTTTATCATTTTTATTTTGAACATATTATCATATTTCTGTACATTATTATATGTTTTACAATTTAATTCATTATTTAAGAAAAATCTATTTTCTTTTCCTAAACATATTGTTTGCAAAAATCTCATCAAGATCATGTTTCTTGACAGATGTCCTGAAGATGGAACGTACCTAGTTCCGAAACGTCGACAATAAACAAATAATTAAATAAAGAAATTGTTTTTTTTTAAAAAACTTTTCTTGTTTTTTATTTTGTATTATTTTTGGATTCTTGTTCGAAACTCTACAAAATATACACAAATCCAAGACTCTACCATTCAATATATATATATATATATATATATATATGAATATGTACTTGTATATTATTCCTTATATATAAATATAGATATACTAAGACAACGAACACGAGACATCGAAGTAAAAAGGTACTGCATATCATTACTTGAAAAACTGGGAAGTTTTGAATACACACGACAGACACTGGATTTGCTTGATAAGCAAGCTCGAGCTGAGGTCAGTATCAAATAACTACAATCTTAATAATTGATTTAAATAACAGATAATTATTTCTAATTGGAATTTGAATGTTTGTAGTAATTATTGCTATTATGTTGTTTTTTTTTAATACAATTCGCAGTTTTTATTACAATATAATCATTTTTTTTTTCATTTCTACTCGTCGAGACCTTTCAAACGATACCCCACATGCTATAAAAGATACAATCTATATGTTATTGAAGTAAAACTTCTTTATGCTCGTTTATTACAAATTAATAAAAAGCGTATATTTTATGGACAAATCACACAGTTAATTTCGGTAATCGGATTCTATTCAGAAAGGCCTTTCAAATGATACCCAACATGCCATAAAAAATAATTTGACATTTTTTAAGTAAAACTTCTTCAGGCTCCTCTACTACAAATTCGTAAAAAGTATATATTTTGTGAACAAACCGTACATTAGATTTCTGTATTCGTATTCTATTCAAGAAAGCCTTTCAAACGATACCCCATACGCCATGAAAATGCAATCTAAACATTTTTGAAGTAAAACTTCTTTAAGCTCGTTTATTACAAATTCTTAAAAAGTGTATATTTTGTGAACACAAATCGCATAAAAATAGATTTACACCTCAATTTCAAAAAATTATCAATGAATTTTAGCATTCTAATATTTTAAGCAATGAAATATTAACGGTTTTTCACAATACAATAATTTTTTTTGTAAAAATCGTCTTCTACTCGTTGAGACCTTTTAAACGATACCCAACATGCTATAAAAGATACAATTTAAAATTTTTGAAGTAAAACTTCTTTAGACTCCTCCGCTACAAATTCGTAAAAGATGTATATTTTGTGGACAAACCACGTAATTTATTTTAGTATTCGGATTCTATTCAAAAAGGCCTTTCATACGGCCAAAAAATACTATTGAATTTTTTGAAGTAAAACTTCTTTAAGCTCGCTTGGTACAAATGCATTATAAGATAATTATGTTGACGTAAATAGCATGATATATGGATGGAATAACAAAAGAATAATGTATATTGTTTGAGAGATACAAATAGTGATTAATAGAGATGAATATTGTATAGAGAGTGTCATTAGAGACAATAAACGCGCGATTAGAGACAAACTAAGTTAACAATTATATAATGTTATAATTTTTAATTTAGTAATATTTATGTTATTTTCAAAACAGGTTAAGCGTCTTGGAGGAAACCCTTTAATGGAAGCTGTACTTGATGATTTGTTGAATTGGAAAAGGCAAAATGGAGATGGCAACAAACAAAATGCATAAATTATTAAAATAAACAATCTCGAATATTTCTCATGTCCTAATTTTTAAAGACAAATCCTTACAAAGAATATCTTTTTAATCATATATATTATATATATATATATATATATATATATATATATACGTATATATATATATATATATATATATATATATAACAATTTGTTTGCATGTATGTATTTTTAATTTTTTAAAACAATTTTTGTATATACCTAAGTATGTATGTTTTTTGCATGTACATTTTTCTTTATTAAATAAATATAAAATTGAATCCAAGACAATTAATATGCCTAACGCAAATTTTCCCGACTAATTATAACAATTAGCATTTACTAGTATATAATAGTTTGATGATTTTTATTTCTAGTATTTAATTAAAATAAATCAGTCAATTCATAGTGATAAATTATTTATATATATATGAATGTAATCGTTAGGGCTTTTTGCATGTGATAAAACAATAATATGAATTTTGTGTTTCTAGTTTAATGATAATGATTATTTATTGACAATAATTATTGTACTATATTGTATTTATTGAATGAAAGTCTTGTATATTGATTTAATTTAAATATATACTCAATCCTAAGTTTTCCCTTTAAAGCCTTATATTTGTAATAGTAATTAAATCATTTTTCAAGTCGTTTGATAACCGATCAATTATAATACTGAATTTTCAGCATCAGAGGAATTATTCATTGAGTAGGATATATAAGACATAATTGTCGATGTCAATTTAATAATATATATATATATATATATATATTTATAAAATTTAAAGAAAGTACTCACCAATTGCTCAACATAACCTCAAAAACATTCTACAAATGTTATATACGTAATTTTCACACAGATTGTACATTACTACAATAAACAGACAACTTTAACATTAAACAACGCTTTTTGAAATCAATAATAATAAATAAATAATGTAAACACTATAAATGAAGTTTTGAAGTAAATGATTCTATCGGTTGCATCAAATAGATTTATATCTTATGAAATATAATCTTACTTATAATAAAATCTTATTATAATATATATATATATATATATATATATAATTAGATGCTTAATTAGATACATTTCCTTTAAAATTTATTAAAATTCAAAGAAGTAACCTTACAATATCATTTCCCAGTTTTTATTTCTGACTCTTTATTTCCACGTATTTTGCACTCTTTTACATTAAACACAAAAGTTTAACTTTAAACAGCACTTTAAACATATTTCAATGTCTTAACAATCAATAAATATTTAAAAAAAACACGAAACTATTAGTTAAATTAACACGCATGCTGTTTGTGGTTATGTTTTGAGATTTAAAAATGTCGCAACTGCTTTAAAAGGATAATTATCAGTAGTGTTGCCAGCGCACTTAAAATGGCGGAAAGGCGGGAAATTCAAAATGGAAAATGATAAATAGAAAATCAAAATTATAAAGCTTGTTTTACAAGGTTTTAAAATTAGTTTATATATAATATATATATATATATATATAATATATATATATATATATATATACATATATTTTATTACAATCTATAATACAAGAAAATCAAAATCAGCTATATTATGTATACAACTTTGCTTCCGCCGTTTTTACTATACGATTTCTTTGCAATAAAGGCGGAAGCAAAGTTGTATGTTTTAAAAAGCGATTTAAAGTATACCGAGTTGCTGTAGGGTATAATGATGTTAGACAATATTGTTAATTGTTTAATTTTGACAATATTGTTAATTGTTTAATTTTAAACAAATTTGCCAAAGGCATCATTCATATTAAACGAATAGTTTAGAAGTTACAAGCGATAGAATAAAGATATGCTCTTGGTATACAGAATTCCAAAGCAAGATTTCACTACAAACACTATGTAGAAAATCTTTGAAAACCTTCATTTTGTATGGAAACTAGTATACTTTATACTCAAATTATTCATGTACTTTATTTCAATTGCGTTTTTTAAATATACCGAGTTGCTTTAGAGTCATTTATTGTTAGAAACTTTTGTAGATTGATTAATTTTGAACAAATTCGCCGAATACATCATTAATATTAAACAAATGGTTTTAGAATTATAAGCATATATATTACATTAGTGCAACATTTTATGAGTATTTAGTGTACAACTTTGCTTCCGCCGTTTTTACTATGCGATTTCTTTACAATAAAGGCGAAAGCAAAGTTGTATGTTTTAAAATGCGTTTTTAAGCACACCGAGTTGCTGTAGAGTGAAATAATGTTAGACAAAATTATTATTCATTCAATTTTAAACAAATTTGCCAAAGGCATCATTCAAATTAAACGAACGGTTTAGAAGTCACAAGCATAAAACAAATAAAAATGTGTACTGGGTATACTGAATTCCAGTATCAATCATGTATCCATTATTACTATAATACAAAAAATAATTATTATACCCAAATATCAACCATTCACTATCTCTTTTTCTGGCTCAGTATCTTTTTACTTTCCTCTCTCCTGCGTTTGGTCAAAGGATTTCTTGGGTCATATATTTCAAACCAATCGTCACCTTTTGTTGAAGCATCCTTTGCCAACACTGCTCCTTTATCCTCAAACCTAAAGAAAAGAAATATATAATAATAATGGAAAATTAAGGATATAAGTGTTAGAACAAAGATATTAATTATAAATAATATAGAAGAATTAATAAATAAAAACAAAGATGAATAAATTACAATTAACTTATTAAAATTTATATATATATATATATATATATATATATATATATAAGTTGCATTAGTATATATCTATATATCTATCTAGTAATTAAAATTTGTCAGCAATTTTATTCATTTAAATTACTGTATTATATATTCATATTATTGTAAAGGTTTTAAAAATATTTAATACAGTTGTAGTGACTGTTTTAATTTAGTGTAATATTATAAAAAAATGCTTACTGTAATTTATGAGACAGCCAAGATTCATCATTATCATCGTCATCTTCAATATTATCATTTTTCTTATCATCTGTAGGTTCATCTGAGCTTTTCTCTCTTGCAGCCGTCATTTTCTTTTGAAACTTTGCTAACAAATTTAAGGTAAATTCCTCTCTAAAAAATACAATATATATATATATATATATAAAAAGCGGAAGGGAGATATTTGACAACCTAATATATATTTATTTATTTATATATATATATTAAGTGAGTCTATTTATTACCTGGAGGCTCCCTTTTTCGGTATAGCTTGTGTCAACTTCTTATAATTTTCTTGTTCCTCATGAAAACTGTCGACAACTTTTTTCTTTTTGGATTTTTCCTCCTCTTCCTTATCTTTCTTTTTATCTGCCTCTAATCTAGCCTTTTTCTCGTCCGAGATGCCTTTTTTGAGATCACGGTATTCTTTACGAATTTCTTCTCTAAAATTAATAAATGAATATATATTTTTATGCCCGCTGCACACCACTATATCCTATATTAGATTAGTATGGACACCACTAGCCTATAACCGAGCCACTTGTTTAAAATAAAATGTCGAGTTGTCTGGTTACATTTTTTCATATTTCGCTAAATTTCTCAAATAATTTATTCAAACATGTGTATATTATTGTACATGAATAAAAAGTAGATAAAATTATCTATAAATCTGTATAGAACAATTGAATCATTTAGAATGAAATCAAATTTAAAAAAATGATTTGAAAATTTTAAAATTGAATCAAAATATTCCAGCTCATCGTTTCTGGTTACATTTTTTTTATATTTCGCTAAATTTCTTAAATAATTTATTCAAACATGTATATATTATGGTACATCAATAAAAAGTAGATAAAATTATCTATAAATCTGTGTATAACAATTTAAACCGTCAGGAACAAATTTATATAAAACCAGCTGTAAGTGGAATTCTGTCTTGAGGCAATTATGGCATCGTGCCTTAAGGCAAATTGCTGGAACTTCCCGCACCGTAACGAAATGTTCGAGGAATACTGAATGTTTTCAAATAGATTATTATAAATATTGTAACATTGTCTAATATTTATAAGAATTATATAAACTGAATTGCAAAGTTGAAAGTATATTAGAACTTTAGTCAGAATTAAAAATAAAATCTGAATTATTTTCGATATACAAAAAATTAAAAAAAAAAAAAAGTTGAATTTTTTTTTTTCCAAAATCAATTATTTTGTTAAGACAAGCAGAAAGTTCTTTGAATCATTTAAATCGGACGCTTAGTTCTCTCAAAAACTGTAATTTTTTACATATTTAAGCTCTGTATCTTCAAAATGGCTGGGCCTGCCTTTGCCAAAAACTAATAAACACTTCTCCCAATCATTACTAATTGAATTGTTTTTAGATCATTCATATCGGATACTCCGTTCTCTCAAAAATTCGATTTCTATTTTCTGCACTCTTTGCTCCGTATCTCCGAAACGGCTAGACCTGCCTTTGCCAAAAACTAATCAGCTCTTTTCCCTATCGATAGGAATCGAATGTTTTTTGAACCATTCAAATCGGTTGATCCGTACGCCCGAAAACGTGGGCAAAAATTTGTATCCATACATACATACACACACACACACACATCCATTTTTTCTGAGGTATGCCAAAATGTTCAGAAACCTTCAAAACGTCGAGAAATGTAAAAATTTTCAATTCCGATTTTCGGCCCATTACAATAACTTACCCTACGGGAAGTTAAAAAATTAAAATTGAATATTTAAATTAAGATGTCAAGTTTTCTGGATACATTTTTAATATTTTGTGAAGAATTTGTTCAAATATGTATATATCATTATATATTATTAAAAAGTAGATAAAATTATCTATAAATCTGTATATAATAATTCAAATAGTTTGGAACAAAATTATATTAAAAAAATTGACTAAATTTTAAAATTGATTACTGAGCCTAAGATGTCGAGGTTTCGGGTTGCATTTTTTATATTTTGCTTATTTTTTTTTTCAAAAAATTGTTTAAACATGTATATATTATTATATATCAATAAAAAGTAGATAAAATTATCTATGAATCTCTGTATAACAAATTAAGTCGTTTAGGACAAAATTATATAAAAAAAACTGGGTCAAATTGTAGAAAAACAAAGGTAAAAAAAGTACAACATTATGTATATTGATTATTATATATTTAAATATATATTTCAACAATTACTTACGCTTTTCGTTTCCTTTCATCTTGTTTATCTTTACCAAGATAATAACTAGTCATTGGCAACTTCTTCTTATTATCTGTTTTTGATTTTAATTTATTTCTAACAAATTCTGTAGTCAATTTGTTTTCATCTTCTTCATTACGATCTTCCTCATCACTTTGGTCATCACTTAAATACTCTTTTTCATTATTTCTGGAATAAGAAATATTTTTTAACTTATTATATATATATATATATATATATATATATATATATATAAATATATATATATATATATATTTATATAAATATAAAAATCTTACCTTTGTTTAGAAGTTTTGCTGCTTTTCTCACTAATATCAACTGCAGGTGTACTATCCAGCGTAGGATCATTTTTTAACATATCATGAGAAGATTTACCTTTTGTAGAATATTTCTGATTAGCACTTGTACTTTCAAATTCATCTTCTTCAGCTTCTTCACCAAAGGATAATAATTTAAAGTTTCTGAATAGAAAAAATACTATGCATAAGCATTTATATATATATATATATATATATATACATATATATTTATATATCAATTCCCTCACTTGACTCCTTTCTTCTTCTCCTTAACCTTAACAGGTTCCTTAAACTCGAATTCCTTACTAACCCTCGGCACGATATCAGAAAAAGGATTATTCAATATTTCAACCTTCAATATCTTTTGCGGGTACATAGGCCTTTCATCATCATCTGTTTCGCATTCTTCTAACTTCAACATATTAAACAAAGTCTCTCCAGTAACTTTACCAAATATCGTATGCTTGTTTTGCAATTCTGGAGTTGCTGCCAAAGTGAAAAAGAATTGGGACCCATTGTCATCTTTACCTGCATTTGCCATTGCAAGAAGACCACGTCTGGCAAATCTGAGACGCTGGTGAAACTCATCCTGAGAAAAGAAATACAATATTGACTTTGTTTGTGTAATTGGTTTTTGATTTGTAGTTCAGACCTTGAAAGGTTCTCCATAAATCGATTCGCCTCCAGTGCCGTCACCATTGGGGTCTCCTCCTTGGACAATAAAACCTTTAACGACTCTGTGGAATATTGTGCCATCGTAATAACCTTCCATACAGAGTTGTATGAAGTTTCTGCATGCTTTTGGAGCCTCTTTTGCCCATAATTCTACGTCGATGTCACCTACTGTTGTTTTTAGCAAAACCTACAAAAGAAAGAAAGAATTAGGAAAAGCTAACCTTTAAATATACAATACAAGCAAAAACGCTAAATTATGAGTGTAAATAAATTATGTACTACCTTTCCTGACGTCGGAGGCTCTTGTATATAAATACTACTCATTTTGCACTAATTTATTAAATATATACAAAAATTCTATTAGAATAAGTTAAAATTTTAATTAGAGTTAACCACACACAAATAAAGTATTATTATTATTTAATAATTCATAATATATTCAATTCTTTCAGGTATTTTTACACAATTTAAAGAAATCGTAAAGGTTAAGTTTTGACATTTGTAAACATCTTGACAGTTTTTAATCAAAATGGCGCCATATTCAAAAATGTTTAACAATAAATTTGTTTAAGTTAAAAACTATGTGCAAGAATTAATAAATGATAAATTATATTAATTAAATTACACATAAGCTACAATCTAACTTGTATTTAAATCTATAACATATTTAAATAAATATATAAATTTTTGGATATATTCTTGAGTTTGCAAAAATGGCGCCAAATTCAAATGCTAATTTAAATTATTATATAAACAAATATTAATAGCATTTTAATATAATAATATTGTTTAATTATTTTTACAAATGATGAATTATATTAAAACAATCACATAAACTACAATTCAAGTTATTTCTAAATCTATAACGTATTTAAATAAATATATAAATTTTTGGAAATATTCTTGACAGTTGCAAAAATAACGCCAAATTCAAATACTAATTTAAATATTATTAGTTTTTTTTTTATATAATATTATTGTTAATCAAAAATCATATATTACATTTCTATTATTTTATTAATCATTAACATATCAAATAAAAATTTAATATATCAAATATTTTCACATTTTTATTAATTATTTTAAAAATTTTATTGAATGTCAATCAGTTTTCAATCAAAATGGCGTCATATTCAAAAATTAAAAATGTAAATTAAAAACACATGTAAAATATTTAAGTAAATGGTTGACTATATTAAAATCACATATAATTCATAATTCAACTTATTTCCAAATCTATAACATATTTAAATGCATATATGAATTTTTGGAAATATTCTTGACAGTTTGCAAAAATGGCGCCAAATTTAAACTAAAATTTAATTTTTTTAATAGTTTTTTAATTCAATAATATTTATAATCGTAAATCATATAATCCATTTCTATTATTTTATTAAACAACAATATATCAAATGTAAACATAATATATCAAATTTATATCATATATCAAATGTTTTCAAAATTATTTAAATAAATAAATGGCGCTAAATTCAAATGTATTCTACAAAACAATTTTAAATCAATAATATATAAACAAATATTTTGAGCATTTTATGGTAAAAATCAAATAAAGTTTATTGAATGCAAGTACATTATATTACATACTATAGTTGTACAAATAAATAAATAAAATAAATAATAATGAACATACTAAAATTATAAATTTGATTCATATTTGAGTTATTGGTAAAATATTAATATTAAAATAATAAAGCTACAAAATTAAATAGTGCTAACCAATTTTGTTTTTAAATAAAATTTTGTATAAAATTACAGAACAATTTATCATTTTTATATTAATGGCACGATTATTTATATGTTTATTAAATCCTAAACTTACTAAACGACAAACTTAAATTATTATAAATACATAATTAATTCATGATCGAATTATATAACAACTTGATCATCGTAAATAACTTAAATAAATAAACTTAATATATATTTATATAATAATTATTTAACTGGCACTTTATTTAAGTATTAAGAATCAAGTATCAAAAGTTTCAGAATGACTTGAAACGTAAAAAAAAAACAAATTTCTTCAGTAACTGTTATGAAACAAAGTTACGTCAATACAACGTAATTGAAATACGGTTACGTTAATAGAATGTAACAGAAATAGTTTTGTTTGTAATCTCAATTTTATTTTGACTTGCAAAGTTAATTACTTTTTTATGCAAAATTACCAAAAAATGTTCAAATGAAAACCAAATCCCAAAATTGTGACTTGATAGTTTTAAAGAGAGTACTAAAAATATCCGAAAAATGTTTTACGAAAATTCTGAAAAACCGCCTAAAATTAACTAAGCATCAAGTAATTAACTAAGCAGCAAGTATCAAAGGGTTCAGAATGACTTGAAACGTCTAAAAACATAAACTTCTTTAGGTAGTCAAAAACCACAATTTAATTTCAACTTTAACGTAACTGTTATGAAACAGAGTTACGTTAGTACAACGTTACAGAAATACGTTACGTTAATACAACGTAACAGAAACAGTTTTGTTTGTGATCTCAATATTATTTTGACCTGCAAAGTTTATTATGTACTTTTTATGTAAAATTATCAAAAAAATGTTCAAATAAAAACCAAATCCCAAAATTGTGACATTATAGTTTTAAAGAAAGTACTATTCATCGTAGCAAAATATATGATTACACAAATGAATAAAACTTTAAATATGATGGACTAAAAATTTCGAAAGTCTCGAAAAAATGTTTTAAAAAATATTTAAAAACCGCCTAAAATTAACGTAATTAATTAAATTAATTAATTAAATTAAAGTGAGTCAAAGACCAATAAAAAAAACCTAATTCAATATTATTAAAATGCGAATTCATAAAACAGAATTCTAACGAACCGTCCAAGTATTTCCAACCCGAACCTAACCTAACTTTTATAACTATTTCATATTATCTTATTTTAATTATGTATCCGTCTCGTTTTCCTTTTCATCGTACCCTTGTCGTCCACAATTTTTATTTGTGCAAATATAAGGATTATTTAAAGTTGGACAGTTGAAATGTTCAAATTGTTTTTTCCAAGTCATCGATTTGTTTCCAACCGGTTCAAACATATTGTTCCATAGAGCATTTGTTGCTAAAATAGATAAAAAAATAAATAGATAAAAAATAAATAGATAAAAAAATATATAGGCGTAAATTGCATGATATATAAATAGAATAACAAAAGAATAATGTATATTGTGTGAGAGAGACAAATAGTGACGTATAGAGAGTGTCATTAGAGACAATAAACGAGTGATTTGAGATGAGGTGTGTTAATAAAATTTTTATTACAATATAATCGTTTTTTTCGTGTTCTACTCGTCGAGACCCTTTAAACGATACCCCACATGCCATAAAAGATATAATTTGAAATTTTTGAAGTAAAACTTCTTTAAGCTCGTTTACTACAAATTAATAAAAAGTGTATATTATGTGAACAAATTACATAGTAAATTTTAGTATTAGTTACCAGAGTTTTATTCTACATATATTTGAGAAAATAAATTTTAACATATATATAGCAATAAAATATGGTTATGCATATAATGTTTTTTTGCAATATGTTAATTTTTTTGTAAAAATCGTCTTCTACTCGTCGAGACCATTTAAACGATACCCAACATGCGATAAAGGAAACAATCTGAAATTTTTGAAGTAAAACTTCTTTAAACTCCTTTGCTACAAATTCGTAAAAAGTGTGTATTTTGTGGATAAATCACATATTTAATTTTAGTATCCGCTAGAAATATTTTACATTTAAAAAAATCAGTAAATTTTAATATTTTAATATTTTTTGCAATATAATATAAATACAATATATATTTCTTATTCTTATTATCTTAATTATTTATTTATATATTATTCTTAATATCTTTTTCAGTTTTTATTATGATATAATCATTTTTTTCATTTACTTCTTGTCGAGACCTTTTAAATGATATCCCACATGCCATTAAAGATATAATCTATATATTATTGAAGTAAAACTTCTTTAAGCTCGTTTACTACAAATTCATAAAAAGTGTATATTTTATGGGCAAATCACGAAGTTGATTTCAGTATTCGGATTCTATTCAGAAAAACCTTTCTAACGATACCCCATATGCCACAAAAAATAATCTGAAATTTTTGAAGTAAAACTTCTTTAGACTTCTCTGGTACAAAATTCGTAAAAAGTGTACATTTTGTGAACAAATCACATAGTTAATTTTAGTATTAGTTACAAATAATATTTTTTTTCTAAAAATCGTCTTCTATTCGTCGAGACCTTTAAACGATACCCCACATGCCATAAAAAATACAATCTCAAATTTTTGAAGTAAAACTTCTTTAGACTCATCCGCTACAAATACATAAAAATTGTATATTTTGTGGATATATCACATAGGTAATTTTAGTATTCGGTAGAAAAATATAACACCTAAAAAAAATCAAAAAATTAAAACATTGCAGTAAAACTTCTTTAAGCTTGTTTACTACAAATTTATGAAACGTGTATATTTTATGAATAAACCATACAATTGATTTCAGTGTTCGTCTTCTACTTATCGAGACCTTTCAAACGATACCCAACATGCCAAAAAGCACTATTGAATTTTTTGAAGTAAAACTTCTTTAAGCTCGCTTAGTACAAATGCATTAAAAGATAATTATAGCATGTCATATGGATAGAATAACGAAAGAACAATGTATATTGTGTGAGAGTAACAAATAGTGACATATAGAGATGAATATTGTATAGAGAGTGTCATTAGAGACAATAAACGACAATCAACTATCCCTTACCCCTAGAGTATCCCTTCTGGCTAAAGTGGAAGCAATCAGCGCTGAGCAGCGTAAAATCAGTACTTTTACCATCATCGCTCAAAGGGAACACCAGTTTTTCGGGAAAAGTCTGCACGACGACTCCAAAATCCTCGGTATCGGCATACTCCGGTAAACTGGCGACCTCCTTGTCAATTTTCTGCCATTGTCTGATAACTTCTTCATAATGGGCCCTTTTGTGCGAATGCATGGCCCCGAAGAAACAAGGACACTCCATCAGATGGGTCAGACGACAGGATAAGGGACGGTTGAGGAATTTGGTCAACAGGGCAACGTCTGAAAAATACGATTAAAACTCAAAAATCGTGTCTTGAGGCAAATTGCTGGAACTTCCCGTACCGTAATGAAATATTCGAGAAATTTTAAACGTTAATAACAAATACTGTAAGGTTAATTATTTTTGCTATCTTGCTATATCTGAGCAAAACAAATGTATATCATAAATCAATTTATCTTCAGAACATTACCAATAGTCATTTCATTTTGAATTCAATTTAAAAAAAAATAGTTGCCTAATTTACATAAAATTCGAAAAAGTGCTCCCGTATAGTCACAGTCTAAACGCATTTGCAAATAATTCTGTGCGACATTTTCACTTATACTGTGCTTAGCTTGGCGGCATTTTCACATTTTTCAATAGTTTTCTCACAAAATTCGAAAATTACTCCAGTACATAAGCAGTCTGAACGCACTTGGCTAAACATTTGTACCAGAGTGGCGCTTAGACTGTGCTTAGTCTGGGTATTTTTTTGAATTTTTGTATTTAGTATTTAGTATTTTTCGTCATCAACTGTATTTTACCAGACATGAAAATAAAAAGGACTCTACTAACAAGCAAACTATATTTTGCATTATATGAACTGACTTAAATACTCGTCTGGTCGTCAGTAAAGTCCCCTTTTATATATTTTAGCTTTTGCTCGTTAGTAGAGTCCCTTTATTAATTCTAGATTAGTTTGCTCATCAGTAGACTCCCTTTTATTAATTCTAGATTAGTTTGCTCGTCAGTAGAATCCCTTTTTTATTTCTAGATTAGTTTGCTCGTCAGTAGAGTTCTTTTTTTATTTCTAGATTAGTTTGCTCGTCAGTAGAGTCCCTTTTTTATTTCTAAATTAGTTTCCTCGTCAGTAGAGTCCCTTTTTTATTACTAGATTAGTAGTCCCTTTTATTAATTCTAGATTAGTTTGCTCATCAGTAGACTCCCTTTTATTAATTCTAGATTAGTTTGCTCGTCAGTAGAGTC